ACCATACCATTAACCGTGGTGTGAGAGGTATTAAGAGGCAATGCCAGCGAAAGAGCTGCGGTCTTAAGGTCACCGTAAAATACAATTAATTAAGAACCGAAATGGTTTAAAACATCTTTCCAATGTTCTTAGTTTTTTCGGTAAAGTCACGTTGAAGAGAAACAACAAAATAACAAAATATATATAAAACAATAAAAAATTCTCACGACGTTTCGACCATAACTCAAACGGTCATCATCACACACCTGATGATGACCGTTTGAGTTATGGTCGAAACGTCGTGATAATTTTTTTATTGTTTTATATATATTTTGTTATTTTGTTGTTTCTCTTCAACGTGACTTTACCGAAAAAACTAAGAATATGAATTACTGCAGTCACGAAAGCTTTAAATCAAAATTTAAAAATCTTTCCAATGGTTACTAAGCCAGAATCCATCTCAGTTGAAATTGTCTCTGTGCTTGTATATGTGGATGGCCACATGAACGAATCTCTCATGGTAGCCGGTTGGCTTGCATTGACTTCAAGACGGAGGTTCTTTGCAAGAGAGGCATCTGGTCTAGACTCATGCCTGATACTAAACTAGAGAGACATCTGGTCTAGACTCATGCCTGGTACTAAACGAGAGAGACATCTGGTCTAGACTCATGCCTGGTACTAAACGAGAGACATCTGGTCTAGACTCATGCCTGGTACTAAACGAGAGAGACATCTGGTCTAGACTCATGCCTGCTACTAAACGAGAGAGAGATCTGGTCTAGACTCACGCCTGGTACTAACTAGAGAGACATCTGGTCTAGACTCATGCCTGGTACTAAACGAGAGAGACATCTGGTCTAGACTCATGCCTGGTACTAAACGAGAGAGACATCTGGTCTAGACTCATGCCTGGTACTAAACAAGAGAGACATCTGGTCTAGACTCATGCCTGGTACTAAACGAGAGAGACATCTGGTCTAGACTCATGCCTGGTAATAAACGAGACATCTGGTTTAGACTCATGCCTGGTACTAAACTAGAGAGACATCTGGTCTAGACTCATGCCTGGTACTAAACGAGAGAGACATCTGGTCTAGACTCATGCCTGCTACTAAACGAGAGAGACATCTGGTCTAGACTCATGCATGGTACTAGACAAGAGAGACATCTGGTCTAGACTCATGCCTGGTACTAACTAGAGAGACATCTGGTCTAGACTCATGCCTGGTACTAAACGAGAGAGACATCTGGTCTAGACTCATGCCTGGTACTAAACGAGAGAGACATCTGGTCTAGACTCATGCCTGGTACTAAACAAGAGAGAGACATCTGGTCTAGACTCATGCCTGGTACTAAACGAGAGAGACATCTGGTCTAGACTCATGCCTGGTACTAAACGAGAGAGACATCTGGTCTAGACTCATGCCTGGTACTAAACTAGAGAGACATCTGGTCTAGACTCATGCCTGGTACTAAACGAGAGAGACATCTGGTTTAGACTCACGCCTGGTACTAAACTAGAGAGACATCTGGTCTAGACTCATGCCTGGTACTTAACAAGAGAGACAACTGGTTTAGACTCATCCCTGGTACTAGACAAGACATCTGGTCTAGACTCATGCCTGGTACTAAACGAGAGAGACATCTGGTCTAGACTCATGCCTGGTACTAAACGAGAAAGACATCTGGTCTAGACTCACGCCTGGTACTTAACAAGAGAGACAACTGGTCTAGACTCATGCCTGGTACTTAACAAGAGAGACAACTGGTTTAGACTCATCCCTGGTACTAGACAAGACATCTGGTCTAGACTCATGCCTGGTACTAAACGAGAGAGACATCTGGTATAGACTCATGCCTGGTACTAAACAAGAGAGACATCTGGTCTAGACTCATGCCTGGTACTAAACAAGAGAGACATCCGGTCTAGACTCATGCCTGGTACTAAACGAGAGAGACATCCGGTCTAGACTCATGCCTGGTACTAAACGAGAGAGACATCCGGTCTAGACTCATGCCTGGTACTAAACGAGAGAGACATCCGGTCTAGACTCATGCCTGGTACTAAACGAGAGAGACATCTGGTCTAGACTCATGCCTGGTACTAAACGAGACATCTGGTCTAGACCCATGCCTGGTACTAAACGAGAGAGACATCTGGTCTAGACTCACGCCTGGTACTAAACTAGAGAGACATCTGGTCTAGACTCATGCCTGCTACTAAACGAGAGAGACATCTGGTCTAGACTCATGCCTGGTACTAAACTAGAGAGACATCTGGTCTAGACTCATGCCTGGTACTAAACGAGAGAGACATCTGGTCTAGACTCACGCCTGGTACTAAACAAGAGAGACATCTGGTCTAGACTCATGCCTGGTACTAAACAAGAGAGACATCCGGTCTAGACTCATGCCTGGTACTAAACGAGAGAGACATCCGGTCTAGACTCATGCCTGGTACTAAACGAGAGAGACATCCGGTCTAGACTCATGCCTGGTACTAAACGAGAGAGACATCTGGTCTAGACTCACGCCTGGTACTAAACAAGACATCTGGTTTAGACTCATGCCTGGTACTAAACGAGAGAGACATCTGGTCTAGACTCATGCATGGTACTAAACGAGAGACATCTGGTCTAGACTCATACCTGGTACTAAACGAGAGAGACATCTGGTCTAGACTCACGCCTGGTACTAAACTAGAGAGACATCTGGTCTAGACTCATGCCTGGTACTAAACAAGACATCTGGTCTAGACTCATGCCTGGTACTAAACGAGAGAGACATCTGGTCTAGACTCATGCCTGGTACTAAACGAGAGAGACATCTGGTCTAGACTCATGCCTGGTACTAAACGAGAGAGACATCTGGTCTAGACTCATGCCTGGTACTAAACGAGAGAGACATCTGGTCTAGACTCATGTCTGGTACTAAACGAGAGAGACATCTGGTCTAGACTCATGCCTGGTACTAAACTAGAGAGACATCTGATCTAGACTCATGCCTGGTACTAAACGAGAGAGACATCTGATCTAGACTCATGCCTGGTACTAAACTAGAGAGACATCTGCTTTAGACTCATGCCTGGTACTAAACAAGAGAGACATCTGGTTTAGACTCATGCCTAGTACTAGAGAGACATCTGGTCCTGACATAGCCTCAGACTGCAGGGGCAAGTGCTGTTAGCGAGTAGCACCTATGAAGTCCGGCATGGCACACGAGGTTTGTAGGGGTGGCCAGCGCCACCCCCGGCCGCCTTTGTCTCTCCCAGTGGCGACGTTTAGTACACCCCGCACCAGGTACTCAATTTACACACGCACACAAAGATAGAAAGATCCCCCGTATAGCCTTAACAGACTGTAGGGGCAAGTGCTGTTAGCGAGCACCTATGAATTCCGGCACGGCACACGAGGGGGTGGGTGGCCAGCACCACGCCCGACCGCCTTTGTCTCCCAAGTGGCGATGTTTACTACACACCGCACCAGGTACCCATTTGAGGCTGAGTCGACCTAGGGGAGACCCAGGACCGGTTCAGATAATCGTCGCTGGTGTTGGCCATGAGCGGGAATCGAACCCGGGTCGCCAGGTTCATAGCGCAGCGCGCTAACCGCTGCACCACCGCTCCCCACACACACACGCACACACACGCACACACACACACACGCATGAACAGACGCGCGAATCTTCCCACTCAGAATCCCAAAGGAAAACGAAAAAATATCCACGTTAACGACGACGACAACAACAACAAAAAAACCTCCTTTAAAATTTTTCACCATTTTTGACGCTCGGCAGCGTTTGCGACGGGCGGCGGCGGCTCCGCTGACGAGGACCCAGAAGGGGCGAAACCTTCCCCCGCCGGGAAGTTTCTGCTCGATGTTGTCGCGGGTGCGGGAAGGGCTGCGAGCCGGCGTGGACGGATGCCAGTGCCAAAGGGGGTTCACGCGGATAAATTTTTGTTCGTCCGGTAGCTTGGGCAAGCAGAAGTTGATGGTGAAGCAGATGACGAATCAGATAAAGCAGATGTAAAAATCAGATAAAGCACATGATGAAGCAGCAGATGAAGAAGCAGCAGAAGCAGATAAAGAAGCAGATGAAGAATCAGATGAAGAAGCAGATGAAGCAGATAAAGAATCAGATTAAGAATCAGATGAAGAGTCAGATTAAGATGAAGAATCAGATGAAGAAGCAGACGAAGAATCAGATGAAGATGCAGATGAAGAATCAGATGAAGAATCAGATGAAGAATCAGATGAAGATGCAGATGAATAATCAGATGAAGATGAAGAAGAATCAGATGAAGAATCAGATGAAGCAGATGAAGAATCAGATGAAGAAGCAGATGAAAAAGCAGATGAAGAATCAGATGAAGCAGATGAAGAATCAGATGATGAATCAGATGAAGAAGAATCAGATGAAGAAGAACCAGAGGCAGCAGCAGCAGAAGAGGAATCTATAGGAATAGGTTTTACCCTTTTAACTGGCACAAAAACTGACACCTTTATTCAAGGCATCATGTTTGCAATAACCACAACACAAGCAGTCAAAATGCAAACAAAAAAGACAACTCTGATAATAATATTGGCACTGTCCTTGAATTTGATTGGTCCACACCCGAGACGGCTTTTCTTAGAGCCTAGTCTCCATTGGTGTTGGACCAGAAGACGCCAAAAGGCGTACAACTCAAAAAAACAGTGCACTATCAGAGTATTGAGGGCTCGGGGTGAGCATTTACATGAGACCTCCTTTGCCAGAAACAAAAACTGACACCTTTATTCAAGGCTGTCTCGGGTGTGGACCAATCAAATTCAAGGACAGTGCATATTATTATCAGAGTTGTCTTTTTTGTTTGCATTTTGACTGCTTGTGTTGTGGTTATTGCAGACATGATGCCTTGAATAAAGGTGTCAGTTTTTGTGCCAGTTAAAAGGGTAAAACCTATTCCTATATCTTGTTTCTGGCAAAGGAGGTCTCACAATGTAAGAGGAATCTACTTTTAAAAAAAAATCGACCAATCACCATCACGCTTCAATAATCGAATGTAAACATCCCATTATTTTTATTATTATTTTCTCTTCGGCGAGCAAAACGCGAATCGCAAAATCGTAAAACGCCGACAACAACGACAAAAACAGCCACTGCCAACCTGGAGACATTAATCTTGAAAATAAATTTTTTAAAGAAAACAAAAGAGAGAGAGAGAGAGGGGGGGGGGGGGTCCAAATTTATCGGTGAAAAATAAAAATATTAACGCGTGCAAAACCGACCAATCGGTAAAGAGCTTCCCCCTACCGACCAATCGGTAAAGAGCTTCCCACTATCGACCAATCGGTAAAGAGCTTCCCCCCCCTACCGACCAATCGGTAAAAAGCTTCCCCCTACCCCTGCCGACCAATCGGTAAACAGCTTCGCCCAAGCCCTGCCGACCAATCGGTAAACAGCTTCCCCCTACCCCTACCGACCAATCGGTAAACAGCTTCGCCCAAGCCTTACCGACCAATCGGTAAACAGCTTCCCCCTACCCCTACCGACCAATCGGTAAACAGCTTCGCCCAAGCCCTGCCGACCAATCGGTAAACAGCTTCCCCCTACCCCTCGAGGACCAATCAAAGCGCGTCGTTATTTCCGTTATTGTTGTAGCCGCTGGCCGGGCAGGGGACCAATGACGGGCGAGCGTTCGCGATCACTCGGCGCACGCGCCTCGACCAATCGGATGCCCCGACGCGCGAAAAAGGGGGGGGGGGGGGGGGGGGGGCGCCACCGCTGGAGACTGAAGGCACCCGGTTGGTTCAAATTACATCGCTTATGCGACGTCACTTCCCCTCGGCCGCGACGTCACTTCCCCTCGGCCGCGACGTCACTTCCCCTCGGCCGCGACGTCACTTCCCCTCGGCCGCGACGTCACTTCCCCTCGGCCGCGACGTCACTTCCCCTCGGCCGCGACGTCACTTCCACTCGGCCGCGACGTCACTTCCCCTCGGCCGCGACGTCACTTCCCCTCGGCCGCGACGTCACTTCCCCTCGGCCGCGACGTCACTTCCCCTCGGCCGCGACGTCACTTCCCCTCGGCCGCGACGTCACTTCCCCTCGGCCGCGACGTCACTTCCCCTCGGCCGCGAAGTCACTTCCCCTCGGCCGCGACGTCACTTCCCCTCGGCCGCGACGTCACTTCCCCTCGGCCGCGACGTCACTTCCCCTCGGCCGCGACGTCACTTCCCCTCGGCCGTGACGTCACTTCCCCTTCGGCCGTGACGTCACTTCCCCTCCGGCCGTGACGTCACTTCCCCTCGGCCGTGACGTCACTACCCTCGGCCGTGACGTCACTTCCCCTCGGCCGTGACGTCACTTCCCCTCGGCCGTGACGCCACTTCCCCTCGGCCGTGACGTCACCCCCCCTCGGCCGTGACGTCACTTCCCCTCGGCCGTGACGTCACTTCCCCCTCGGCCGTGACGTCACTTCCCCTCGGCCGTGACGTCACTTCCCCTCGGCCGTGACGTCACTTCCCCTCGGCCGTGACGTCACTTCCCCTCGGCCGTGACGTACGTAAACCGCGCCACGCAACGGCCGTCACCGCAGCGTCAAACCTCCCTGCGAATGCTCGCGCGCGATTGGCCGGGCGTCCCGGCACGCTCCGCCCCCCATCCCCGCCCTCCCCCGCAGCATCGGTCGTCCCGATTGGTCCGTCGGCGTCGTCGGCGAATCGGACTCCCGAGAAGCCTGAGAAACGTCGTGAGGTTTTTTTATCTTCTGTCACCTCCGTGCCGTTAAATTTCTGTCCGTTCGCTTCCACAAAATAAAATTAAATCCACCGTCGATCCGGCTGTCCCGATGCGATGCCTCCTCTCTTCCACCTCCTCCTCTTCCACCTCCTCCTCCTCTTCCACCTCCTCCTCCTCTTCCACCTCCTCCACCTCCTCCTCCTCCGTTGACGCTCACAGCTCCTCGCGCCCTTCAAGTGCACACGAGACAAAGGCAAAGGTGTCCCAGTCAGCCTCCGGCAGGGGCTGGGGCAAGTGCTGTCGGGAGACGAGAAGCAGCAGCAGCAGCAGCAGCGCCTACGAAGGCTGCCGGCACCGTTGGACGCGAGGGGGGTGGGGTGGAAGCGCCACCACGCCCGGCCGCCTTTGTCTCCCCTGGTGGCGGTGATGTTTACTGCTACACACCGCAGAAGGGTAACTCATTTGAGGCCGAGTCGACCTAGAGGGAGGCCGATGGGACAGTGTAAACCTGACGGGGATGCGATGTTTGTATTCACACAAAGATAAAGATCCCCCCCCCCCCACCCGCCGTGTAGCCTTCACGGACTGTTGGGGCAAGTGCTGTGAGCGGTGCCTACAAAGGCCGGCACGGTATTCACACACACACACACGCACGCACACACACGCACAACAACAACCGCCATTCGCCACTAAGTGGCGGTGACGTCACCACGACGCTTGTGCCAGGCTATGTGCACCCTGAGGCCACGTGAAGTGTCGAACGGCAGGTCACGGGGCAGACCCAGGTGCCACGGGTCGACTGACTGAGATGACTGGCTGGTGCACCACCTGTGCCCCCT